ATTAAGGTGAACGGCATACCAATTAGCAACCTACGCTATGCGGACGACACAGTGATTATAACTGATAATTTGGAAGATCAGCAGTTATTACTTGATAGGGTGAATAGCATAGGTAAAAAATATGGCCTCAAAATCAACATTTTGAAAACGAAATATATGGTCATTAGCAGAAACCCTCCAGAAAACCCGATAATATGCATAGGTGACAATCGTATAAATCGCGTGAAAACTTTTAAATACCTTGGCACCACAATCAATGACCAATCGGATCCACAACACGAGATAAAAACCCGAATACAAATGGCAAGACAAGCTTTTGTGAAATTCAGGCCGCTCCTATGTTATCAAAACATAAATTTCGAAATACACTACAGAATGGTCAAGTGGTCCATCCAAAGTGGCGATAGAAAAATAACAATTATTTGTAAATCCAGAATGAATAATTCTGTCGTCGGTGTGTGAGACCGATAGCGACTAACGGAGGGTTAAAGAATGGACAGGAATACACAATACAGGTGAGCTGTGTCACGCCGCCAAGAACAGAATTCTAGTAATGAGATAGTCGCCTACGCACTTTGGTGTATGGCATGTTAAGAAGAAGATCCAACTTATATAGATGATAATTTCCTCATTAGTGGACACACTCACATGCAATGTGATGTCGATCTAAGCCTCATTGAGAAGCAAAAAAAATAATTTACAAATTCCTATTTCTCATTCATATAATTGGTACTAACTTATTAGTTCTGTGGGGAAAATTAAATAATTTATCGTGGTAGAATTGACCCATTCAGATTTCTTAAATTTTGCTGATCTTCTTAAATCGGACCTCCAACTTAGTAAAAAAGTCAATGAAGGCAATGTATATCATTGGCACTCAGTCAGGTGGTTTCGATATACTCGCGAATTTGGAAATATTTATTTTAAACAGAGTTTTAGACCCGATGTTCCTTTCAAGTCTTATCCGGAGGGGACACCCAAATGCTCAGCTAAATCCAATCAAATGTTATACCTCTACTTTACCCATTTCAAAAGAAAAGAAAAAAGATATATTGGATCTCTTACCATTAATTTCTCCTAGATTTCATGATTTTTTATAGAAATGTCAAGGCAAATGACATGCCTGATACTTTTAATGATGGAGATTATTCGGAAAATTGTGACGAAAATACTTGTTTTTTATTTAAGTTTTTAAATTACTTTAAAAAAGGACCTTACCCTCCTTCTCCGGAGGGAAGGAAAGGAAAAATCTAACTTAAAATTAATAGATCTGAAACAGTGGAAACAGCATTATGAGGTCTTATTGACAGAGGATAGACGTAAATTCCAAGATATCGAAATGGAAGAAATATCTGAACATACACAAATAATTGAGATAACAACCGGAGAGTTAAGCGATGCCCTCAAAAGATCGAAAAACGGTAAAGCAGCAGGACCTGGAGACATCCCAATTGAGTTGGTAAAGTATGGACCAAAAATATTACACGAGATGATGGTTAAACTATTTAATAAATGCTTAAAAGGACAAAATATCCCTGATGATTGGAATGTTGGATACATCAGCTCAATATACAAAAAAGGGGATAAACGCAATTGCTCTAATTATAGAGGAATAACTGTTACTAGCTCAGTTGGGAGGTTGTACGGTCGAATAATAAAAAAAACGAATTGAATCAGAATATGAAGACATAGAGGAACAAAATGGATTTCGGGCAGGAAGATCGTGCATTGATAATATATTCGTTCTGCAGCAGGTAATCGAAAAACGGAAGGCAAGGAATCTATCTACCCACCTATTGTTTGTAGATTTAGAGAAGGCATATGATACGGCACCTTTGAAAAAACTATTTTATACATTGACTAAAGTAGGTCTCAGTAGAGAGTATGTGGATGCTATCGCAAATATATACAAAAATGCAAGAAGTGTCGTTCAAGAAGGAAACTTTATATCTGAATCATTTCCAATAACCAAGGGGCTTAAACAAGGATGTTGTCTGTCTCCGACCCTATTTAAAATATATATTTAATCATCACTAGAGCAGTGGAGAAAACAAGTATCCGGAATGGGAATAGACATAGGCGGTGGTGAATGTCTAACAGCTTTATTTTTCGCAGATGATCAGGTAGTCGTAGCGAATGACGAGGAAGACATGGACTACATGTTTAGAAAACTAAAGAAAGAATATGAAAAATGGGGCCTCAATATGAATATGGCAAAGACAGAGTATCTTAAAATAAGAGATGGTGAAGAAGATCCAGAGTTAGAAATTAGAAACACAAAAACATGCAATGAAAATAAATATCTCGGATCTATAATATCTAAAGAAGGCACTACCAAAAGAGACATCGATAACAGAACACAGCAGGGAAAAAAAGTGGTAAACATTCTAAACTCTCTACTTTGGTCTAAAGATATTAGACAAGAAACGAAATTGACAATCTATCGAACCTTGGTAGAGCCTATTATGACTTATGGGGCAGAGGTTTGGCAGATAACGCAGAAGGATAGAAAAAGAATAGAAGTAGTAGAAATGGATTTTCTAAGAAGAGCGTGTGGTATATCCAAAAAAGATCACATCAGGAACGAAGATATTAGAAGGAGGACAAATACTGTATATTCCAGTGTAGATAGAATTGAAACGAGACAACTAGTGTGGTATGGTCACGTAAAACGAATGAATGAAGATAGATGGCCAAAGAAAGCTTTAAATTACATACCACAACAAAGAAGAAAAAGGGGAAGGCCTTCAGTTGCCTGGGAAGAAAATGTACGGCACATAATGAGAGATAGAGCCATCACAGAAGACGAATGGATGGACAGAAAACGATGGCGGTCGAAATGCGAGAAACGGCAAAGGCTGTAGGAACCTCGCTTATATATATATATATATATATATATATATATATATACATATATATATATATATATAAATATATATATATATATATATATATATATATATATATATATATATATATATATATATATATAAATTACTTTAATGTTTTTCTATTTATCTGATATAGATCCAAATAATATGTTAATTTAGTTTATTGGCCAACATAATATAAGCTGTTAATTTTTCTATAAGTAGCTTAGATATTAATTTGTTTCAAACTTACATTAAGGTAATAAGTTTTTTTTAGAAGATATTTGGTTTAAATTTTTTTTTAGATACCTCTTTCAAAAATATTGGTATTCCTCTAAAATAAAGATTTTTGACTTATACTCTTTTTCAAATAATAATGCTATATTCATCTATCTCATCTCTGAAAGATCTTCTTGGTCTGCCTCTTCTGCGTTTTCCTATGGGGTTCCACTCAGTTATTTTTGCTATCCATCGGTTTGGGTCTGTTCGTCTGACATGTCTGTACCACGTTAATCTTTTTTTGTAATGTAATTTAAGGTGTCTTTCTTTATCTCCATTCATCTTTTGATTTCGTCGTTAGTTATTTTGTCCATTCTCGAAACTCTGCAGCTTCTTCTCCAGTAGTCCATTTCTGTGGTGTTTATTTTGTTTCTGTTGCTTTTGTTTAAGACCCAATTTTCTGCTCCATATGTTAGAATGCTGCGAATCATCGTGTTATAAATTCTTTTTTTGTTATGTGTTTGTCCCATAGGATTGGATTCAGTGGTCTTATAGAGTTTCTGGTTTGACCCACTCGATTTTTAATTTTTTCTTCTATAGTACCTTTATTTGATATACTGAACCCCAAGTATTTAAATTTATTGATCCCCTTTATTTCACGCCCGTCATCCACTTCCAGGTTTCTTGTTGGTTCTTGTCTTGTATTCAGATATTCTGTTTTGTTAATGTTTATTTCCAGGCCATTTATATTACATTCTTCTTCTAGTTTTCGAACCATATGACTTAGATCTTCCTCGTCTTGTGCTATTATGACCTGATTGTCGGCGAAACTGAGGGTATACAGATGGTCGTTCCTTATGGGTACTCCCATTCCCTCACATTTCCTTTTCCATGGCTTTATGGCGTATTGAAGAAATATTTTAAAGAGGGTAGTTAAGTCGAGCAGCCCTGTAGGATACCTTTCGTTGTTTTAAATGGTTTTCTTAACTTGTTACATACTTTAACTGTAACATTATTATGTGTGTACATGGACTTCACTACGTGGATCAGCTTATCTTCTACTCCTATTTGTTGCATGGCTTTTTACAGTCGTTTTCTGGGCACAGAGTCGTATGCCTTTTTTAGGTCAATAAAGGTTAGATGGACTGGTCTCTTCTTCTCTATTAGCTGTTGTATAGTGTAGATGTGGTCAACACATGGTTTCCCAGCTTCAAAAACTGCCTGGTCGTTATATAATATATTTTGGATTTGTTTTTCTATTTTTTTCCTTTGATATTTTTCCATATAATCTTCCTATAGATGGTAAAATGCTCAAGGCTCTGTAATTTTCACATTTTCTTCTATCCCCGTTCTTGAAAATAGAGATAATATGTCGACCATTCTTCAGGTTGTTGTTCGGTGTCCAAGGCTCTCTGAAACATGGTATGTATCATACGGAACAATTTTTCAGAGCCATATTTAATTAGTTTGGGTGCTATCCCTCCGGGGCAGACTTATTATTTTTTATTTGTTTTATGTTCTTTTTTAATTCTTCCAATGATAAATTTGGTTGCTCCTTTGTATTTGTTGTTTGCTATTCTTTTTCCATACATTTGGTTCGCTTTTCTGTCAGAAGTTCTTGGTAGTAATCATTTCATTGTTTTTCGCTTATGAAAGTAAAATATGTTTTTTCCTGTGTGTTTTCTTTTAGACTCTTTATCACTTTCTAGGATTCTTTGTAGTAGTTCTTGTTGTAGTTCTTTGTACCTCCCATGTATTGTTCGATGTTGATTCCCAGTTATCATTTTTATCATAATGATAATAATGATATTCTTCTAAAATAAAGATTTTTGACTTATACTCTCTTTTCCTAGCAGCCTAGAATTAATTTGTTCAATATTTAGATTAATATCATCTTTTATCTAATTGCAGGCACCCGCTAAATATCACTATGACTACGCAGTTCACGATTTGCACACCCACGACATTAAGTCCCAATGGGAAACCAGAAACGGAGATAAAGTAAAAGGCGAATACACCGTAGTTGAACCAGACGGTTCTAAAAGGATAGTCTCCTACACAGCCGACAAACACACCGGATTTCACGCCATCGTTAAAAAAGTTCACGATTACTAGAATTCGTATTGGGTAAGAACAAAAAATGTTGAATAAAAGTGGCATACTATCAAAAATTGCGTAGTTAAAAGTTGTAGTAAATTTACTAATTTTAGAATGTATTTGTAGGTAGTTTATTAACTTATTATTCTCATTTATTTTAAAATTATATTTTGGATAACAGGTTTACTTATATTGAAGTAATGTAAGTAATCTTTTAATGCTCATATTAATTTATACGGTTGAATATGGTGCAAACAAGTTTTCAATGTTTATTTTGTTATTAGTATTTACACTTATTAGTCAACGCGTTTCAGTATTTAATTTGTGCTACTGTACCAAGTTTTCTGATAATTATAAATAAACGAATTTGATATTATTTAGGTTTAAAATATCCAATATTTATAGAGTTCTTTCTAAATTTGTATATAGATCCACATTTTTTATTAATCTGATTTTCTGACTAACCTATACAGGTACCTTCATTTTGTATATAAGTTACTACTTTTCTAAGTTTTCACAGTAACTCTTAAATTTTGACTTACAAAAAATATGAAAAATACAAAATACTTTTCGATTTTGTCAGTTTTTGACTTTGCAAATCTATCTTATGCAAAATGTCTTATAATTGTTTACCTAATTCTGATTTTAATTTTATTTTTAGCTTAATTTTATAGGCTGGGTATCCTTTACAGTTGCACTGCTTAATTATTCTCGATTTAATGGAAAAGAATGTCTATCATGTAAAACATGGTTTGTGTATGACTTATTATGACCTACATTTCTTAGCTTTGTGTCTGTATTATTGAATTTTTAATTAATTCTTTAAGCTTAAGGATATAAGGCAGAGATTTTGTTTGAGGTAATCGACAAATATAATATTGTTTACTGATACATATCAATATCTTCAAATAACCCATTTTTTCTTTTAAATGTAGGATCCTTTAAAATATCTTACAATGCTGTCCGATTTCCAAACTTTTGTACTTTCTTATTTTGTAAGGTATCGCAAATCCATCCTTGCGTCACTCTTGTTGTTTGGGAAAGTATGTATTATTTATTTTCATATTTTACATTTTTTTACTTTCTTTTACTGTAGTATAATATGATCTAATTTAATGGTATATTCTAACTTATTTGCTTTAAATATATTGTTTCCTGTTATTTCGTAAAATCTTATTGTTAAACTGGCTTAAAAACACGTCTGTTTTTACGTCCAAAGATTTGACTTTCTTTTGTTGTTTTGGAAATCATTATGTCGCCATCACACGAACGTTATAAAGTATCTTATTACTGTCACAATTAACTTGGATTATCGCCATTCAAAGCGCATTACAATAGCGCTGATTTATGGTGGTACACTTGTCCCATGAACCACCCAACGGTCAGAGAGTCCTTTCTGTCCATCTCAAAAAAATCTTCCTACTGAGAGAGCGTATAGTAAGCACGACACGTTCATTCTTTTGCGCCTTGGATGGCGTCCATTTTCTTTCACCAGCGACCTCTAAGTTTTACACAAAATACTTGTACTTATCGCTATGTGGATGATGATTTCATGTCTGTTGCTTTTACTCCTACATAATTTCTATGGTATTCGTCTCTTATTCTGTCTCTTTTGGATGCCAGTAGTGATCTAATTGCATCCATTTTCACTACGCTAGCCTAATTTTATTCATTTTGGCTAGTCGTGTAGTTTTTATAGCGTCTAATACACTACTTTGTGTACATATTCGATACTTTTGGTTCGATATTTGAGTATTCGTCAGATATATCGATGGCTTTCTTTGCTTATCCAATTCTTGAGATAATTTTTTTGTTAACCGGTTCCAGGTTTATCAAGTATTACTTCAAAAGGTTTGTAATCTTAACAGCCTTCCATTTCTTAGTTATTTTTCATGTCAAGATAAGCCTCGATAAGCTAATTTATTCGAGAACAACTTATCATCTTGAGTAGTTTTTAATTAATTTACGCATCATATACTCCAGATCATCTTTTTTATTTGCAATTATGTCCTGGTTGTTTGCACAATGGAGTGTATCTGTATAGATATTATTGTTTTTACTAATTTCACAACATTAAAAAAAGTGGTGAAAACCTTAAATTAAATATCTGTCCGTCTGTCTGTCCATGTACATAACTGCTTTGTTATTGAAACAAATATAATGACAAGTAAGTATCGAATGAGAGCTTATAACCCAAAACTGGTATTATCATAGTTTAATGCCAGTAGTTGCAAGTCTTCCTTTTAGTTCTAAACTTATCGATTCATATTTGTGATTTTATCTGTTTCATAAGTACTAATTTATTATGTAGCAGAGGTAAAATAGTATCTAAAAACTTTATTACTCCTATTTGGTCATTTGCAAGCTAATATCAAGAAATCAATATGTCAATATGTATCTTATATCATAGGAAGGCTTTTGTTAAGATTTGTGCATTGTAGATTTTAAAAGAGTGGTTTCGCCTTCTAGATCTTTCTACACTGCAGTCTAAAAAATATTTTGTACATACCTCTAGATCGAGACGTGTCCTAAAAATCGAGACTTTTAAGAAAAACCTGTACTAAAAAGTCTTGCTTGAGGTGTTTATTATTGCGTTGGTGACATTGGTCAATTAAGGTTTTTGATACTTGGTCAATTAAGATATTTAGCCAATTTTTGCTTGTCTTTGGCCTGGAATATATTCTAAATAGGCTGCACTCAGCTTATTTTTGTATTTCCAAACATTTTTAATGTCATCGCTTTTTGGATTGATTCTGGTTTAATAAAATGAGTGTTAACTTCTTTAGCCAGAATATCAGCAATCAGATTACTAACAATTTCTAGCTCTATGTCTTAGCATCCCTTCTTCTTCTTCTTCTTAGCCTTCTGTCGTCCATGTTTGGACATAGGCCTCTCCCAACTCCTTCCATCGGTCTCTATCCTGAGCAACATATTTCCAATTTGTTCCGGCTATTCTTTTAATGTCCTCAATCCATCTCATCTGTGGTCTTCCTCTTGGTCGTTTACTTTCGTAGTAGCATCCCTAACACAGTTATTTTGATGTGTTTTGTGAGTTGCTTAAAGTGTTTCTTCGTAAACGTTTTTAGTTCAGCTTGGCTGTCTAAGGCATTAGACATTTTGGAAGAATTAAGGTTGCTTTCAGATATTATTAAGCACCAAACTTTGTTGCTACTAATTCTGCTTAAAATATTTGGAAGTATTTCCTAGAGGATATTGTTAGGACCATTAACCCCTATTGTTAATTCTTTATGTGTTTCTTCACAGTAATAAGTAAAGACACTTCTTATGATTTCTGAGATTACTTTGTGTAAAGAATTTTGTTTTAAACTTATCAATAGATTTGATTCTGCAGCATATCCTGACCCTTATTATTATGTTCTGATAGATGTAGGCATAGGACTTTTGAGCTTGATATTTAAAAATATGAGATTTCATATTTAAAGGTATAATTATTGGATCTATATGTGTTAAAATGTTAGTTATTGTATCAACAGTAAAGTTAAAATGTAATATAAAAGCATATTGTGTAAATAGATTCTGCAATCTAAAGAATCATTTATTACTTTTTTTTAAGTATTTTTAATTTTTTGTTTATCGTTAAATACTATTTTTTTCCAGTATTTATTAATCTTGGTGTAAATAAAAAACGATATGTAAAGCATAAAATTAGAGAGGACAATTAGTGGATGGTAAAAGCTTGAAAATAAGTCGATGTCATTTTTATTTAAACACAAAAACCACATCAACCTAGTTATGTTATTAGTGGATATAACAAACACATTATACATCAACACAAGTATTACATTAAAAAGAATTGTACTTGATAAACAATGTTAATAATATTTTTTTGGTGAGAATTGTTTTTTCGATCATCATCTATGATTACGCGTGATCTTCGTACTTTCATGATTTCCAGACAAACACGCATGATAGGTTTAACGGTCAAGGGATCAGAACAGTATATTGGTAGTGGTTCTTTTGATATTAAGTATTTGTGTGTTTAATAAATACAATGTAGATGGTTAATAATAACTTGGTTGCTTCTGTTTGAAGTATTATCCAGTACAGCATTTATCTTTAGGCAGATTACATTTAGTTTTGTACCTAATTTTTCCCAATAATTTTGCCATGTATTCGTAAAGTGGAGTTTAACCAAATTCTTTAGATCGGTATATTTTTGATCGACTTTTGTTTGCCAATTGATCTGCTTTTGTATTTTCGTAGATACCTGTATGTGTAAGTACCCAAATAAGTTTTGTTTAAGAAAGTGTAAAACTCACTCAAACTCACAAGGTTCTACTGTAAAATAAATCAGATATGTTAGAACGAATGTTAGAATGTTGCTGAGATAGTGGTTTATCTGTCTTTTCCGTGGAAGAGAGACTATTTTGTGGTTTAGTTTCTTTTAACATAAGGATATTATTTTTTAATTTTAAATTGTGGGTTTAACAGTAAACAAAATTAAGGATCTTTAAGGATCACATTTCTTGTAAGTCTAGAAAAATCAAAAGATTTTCGTAGGAGTTTCTTTTTAACTTTTTTAAATTTTTCTTTGGTTTGCTTACTACAGGAACAGTGAAGATAGGTGAATCGGTCTGTGGGGTATTTTCGTTAATGTCTGGAGGAGATGAGATATATCTTTTTAGTTGATTGGAGACGTTTGTAATAATTGAAGATGGTGTTTTTTATACTAGAATGGGCTTCTAAAGCTAATGTTGTTTGGGGTTTATAATGTTTGAGTTTTTAAGAAAGATATTTGACTTATTATTTATATATCATGTCATGTTGTCACCAGTTTCATCATAGTTTGTTCTGCTTGCTTATTAGATGCATTTACTACAGTTAAATTGTTTTGGAAAGCTCTGTGTACATTAGACGTAGTTGAATTAGCTTTATCAGAGCATTTTTGTTCTGTTTAGTTATTAGATATATTTACTGTTGTTAATATGTTTTGGGAATTTTCTAAGTGTGTGTTAAAATTGGTTGGATGAGCTTTTCTAGACCATTATCCTTCCTGTTGCCATTGGTACAGTTAAATCTTTTATCGAAAGGCAGAATCGGTAAGTGTTATTTTCATGAGAGATGATAAAATAATCAGGAACAGACATATTATATAAAAGTGTAATACATTTTTGCTTTATTAAACTCAAGAAATGGCTGTATCTGATTTTAGGCATTCCTAATCTTGGGAAAGTTGTATTTGAGACTGCGTTTATACTCATCTTCTGAAGATCTTGTTTAATTAACGTGTTTGGAACAGTAGGTTGATATTACAAGTGTCTGAGCTGAAGTGACCATTCTTCATATTTCTATTTGGGTTTCTTTTGTATTAATATATTTGTGGGAAAAAATAAGTGAACCAACTGTATTTGTAGAAGAAAGATATAAATATATCCTATTGTAGAGAGGTATACGTTACGTGCACCATGTCAATGTTTTATATTGAAACATTTAAAATCATTTAAACAAATAATATGTTTTTAGGTTAGATCTTAACTTTACAATTACTTCGTTACATTAAGTAAGAACTATGTCTTGCCTTTACAGTAGTATTTGTTATGTTTTGTTATTGTTTAATAGTTAGGTAGTGTATATATGATTATTAAAAACCTTCAAAATCATTTAATATCGTACAACGTACTACATAAAGGTTGTAAACTCAATTGTAAAAAACTCAATTTTTGTATTTGTTAGAGAAAATTAAGTTGTTAACAAAATATCCTTATTTAACACTATGGGCTAATAAAAAAAATCATTGAGCAATCTATTCGTACCTTCAGTGGTATTTTAAGTGTCTTTGTTTTTCTGAATATTTAGTTGAGTTTAAAATCCTTCCAAGCTTCTCTACCGATGTGCTCTTGCATATAATTTCTACTCCAAATTTAAAGCTTTTGGTTCAAAATATAGGAATAAAGTAAAAATAAAATAAAATGTTTTAACGCTTCGATCTGAATTTAGTAAATTTATTTAGCAGATCTGGATTTAGATACACCTTCGATGTGTTCATGGTTGTCGATGTTTTTAATACAATTTATATTATATTTTTATTATCTTATTGTAAATAATCATGTTATAGTTATTGCTTTAATAAAAATGTTATTTATAAAAATGTTTTATTTTTCTTAAAAATGTCCATAATTTTTTAGAGAGACCTAAAAATGTACCAGATATATAACTCGAAAGAAAGCTTGTTTAAATATAGGGTATGGATAAAAATAACAAGGTTTAATGTGCAAATTGTAAGAAAACCATCCAGAAAACTAGGGAGTTAACAAAATTTATAAAGAGTTGCAACAAAAGACATATCTCAGACTAAGACAAAACTCCAATAAACATTAACAAAGAAACACAACAACTTTAAATATTTAGGGTTCAGTCTCGGTACTCTGATCTCTCTCAGTACTTTGATCTCGCCGAGTTAAAAGCTATAATGAGAGATCTTATAACACAATTTTTTTTAAACATCTAAGTGGTGCCTAAACTAAGCTTTTTCTTAAAAGAAGAAGCTAAGTAGATAGTGACCCCGAGAGTACGTGGATCTATCTCAAAGATAAGGTAATCGAAGCTGCAAAAGACTGCGAGGCAGACGGTTTTCACGGGCCGCAAGCTATGGGTATCCGATAATACGTTGACTGTGATTTAGTGCAGAAAAAAACATAAAACTAGATACGAAACAAATAATGAATCTTGGTCTTCGCGTGCCATATCAGAACCATTCGACGTTGGCGATCACCATTGCAAATGCTTCTCCATCTTCTGCAATATGGAATAATTGTCCTGCATTTGGTATCTGAGTCCATTCACGAATGTTTTTTAACCAAGAAACTTGTTTTCTTACTACACCTCTACGGCCCTCTATTTTATCCTCTATTTTAACGCTCTGTATTCAAACAATGAATACAGAACGTTATCGAAAATAACCAGAAAACAGTGCCGCAAAGACAAAGCTGATTACATTTCCCAAATATGCAAAGAAATAGAGGAACATGGCTGTCGAAACGAACCGAGGGATTTATTTCAGAAGATCAAACTCCTTACCACAGAATTAAACGTGGTCTGTAATAGATACGGAAGGTACTCTAAAGACCGATCCTGACGAAATATTAAAAACTTGGCGAAACTACTGTGGCTAGCTGTATAAAAATCCTCTATTTTAACGCTCTGTATTCAAACAATGAATACAGAACGTTATCGAAAATAACCAGAAAACAGTGCCGCAAAGACAAAGCTGATTACATTTCCCAAATATGCAAAGAAATAGAGGAACATGGCTGTCGAAATGAACCGAGGGATTTATTTCAGAAGATCAAACTCCTTACCACAGAATTGAGCGGGGTCTGTAATAGATACGGAAGGTACTCTAAAGACCGATCCTGACGAAATATTAAAAACTTGGCGAAACTACTGTGGCTAGCTGTATAAAAATAACGAGGTACCAGCAGAAAATCAGTGGCCATCTGATTACCCTGGAGAACCTACTTTCTTAGTCACTGTAGTCAAACATGCAATCAAATCGATAAAGGGAAATAAATTGCCAGTCATTGATTCAATACCAGGTGAAATACTAGAGTTACTAGGTAACAAAGGATTGCATATCATCCATTCTATCTGTGTCGCTGTCCATTCTATCTGGAATTTGAAAATTAAGGCAATTATATCGAGCACAAGTTTAATCAAATCTTACCCAAGTACTTTCGCTTAATATAGCATATTTAGGGGCATTTTGTCAAATATGGGCTATCCAGCAAGCGTAGAATGTGATAAACATGGATGTTAACATAAAAATATATATATATATATATATATATATATATATTGGCGGTAACAGGAGAGAGAATGTTACCATTGAAGCATTCTCGAACTACTACCAGATGTGAAAACTACCGGACACTATCACTAATAACATATGCTAGTAAAATTTTGTTGCATATCATAAAAAACAGATTAAAAACCTATTATCAACATTACCAAATACCTCACGAACAAGCGGGTTTGTAAAAGTACACGGAAACAAATCTGTACCAGTCCAATGTAGCACCACTACGAATAGATCAGAAGTTCTTAAACCAATTCAAGAGAGGTGTTACAGAGAGAGAGAGAGAGAGAGAGAGAGAGAGAGAGAGAGAGAGAGAGAGATAGAGAGAGAGAGAGAGAGAGAGGTGTTAGATAAGAATACATGTCTCACTCATCGACTTATTCGTTATTTATGGTCAACATAAATGAGCATACAGCAACAAAATGAGCAATACAGTTGGTCTGAAAGTTAATAAAGCTAAGACAATGAGATAAGTCACTACTCTAAACTTTGGAAAGACAGATCTATCTGTCAAAATATCAAGATGAGACTGGTGAATCCCCTTTTATTTTCAATATTTCTATGCGGGGCAAAGACATGGACCATTTTCGGACGCGAGCGTCAAAAAATGGATGCCTTTGAGATGTGCTGATGAAGAAAAATGCTGAGCATACCTTGAACAGCTCATAGGACAAGAGAGAGAGAGAGAGAGAGAGAGAGAGAGAGAGAGAGAGAGAGGTGTTAGATAAGAATACATGTTTCACTCATCGACTTATTCGTTATTTATGGTCAACATAAATGAGCATACAGCAACAAAATGAGCAATACAGTTGGTCTGAAAGTTAATAAAGCCAAGACAATGAGATAAGTCACTTAACTAAACTTTGGAAAGACAGATCTATCTGTCAAAATATCAAGATGAGACTGGTGAATCCCCTTTTATTTTCAATATTTCTATGCGGGGCAAAGACATGGACCATTTTCGGACGCGAGCGTCAAAAAATGGATGCCTTTGAGATGTGCTGATGAAGAAAAATGCTGAGCATACCTTGAACAGCTCATAGGACAAGAGAGAGAGAGAGAGAGAGAGAGAGAGAGAGAGAGAGAGAGAGAGAGAGAGAGAGAGAGGTGTTAGATAAGAATACATGTTTCACTCATCGACTTATTCGTTATTTATGGTCAACATAAATGAGCATACAGCAACAAAATGAGCAATACAGTTGGTCTGAAAGTTAATAAAGCCAAGACAATGAGATAAGTCACTTAACTAAACTTTGGAAAGACAGATCTATCTGTCAAAATATCAAGATGAGACTGGTGAATCCCCTTTTATTTTCAATATTTCTATGCGGGGCAAAGACATGGACCATTTTCGGACGCGAGCGTCAAAAAATGGATGCCTTTGAGATGTGCTGATGAAGAAAAATGCTGAGCATACCTTGAACAGCTCATAGGACAAACGTTTCTATTCTAAACTAACTCGAGATTCAAAAAAAAGTCTACAATATATCAGCAACGTATTCTGCAGTTTTTTGGTCACGTGGTTCGTAGAGGTGACGATAGTTTGAAGAGATTAATTGTGTCTGGAAACGTTCCGGGGAGAAAATTAAGAGAACGATCACCAACTAGATGGTCCGACCAATTTAAGAATTCAGATGAAAACTTATTCTGCGAAGCTAGCTCTCACAGTAGCTGAAAATAGAGACCAATGGAGAAAAATTGTTGGGATTATTGGAATAAATCATGATCCTCAATAATGGGGAAATGATAAGAGAGAGAGAGAGAAGCGATATCTTGGTACAAGTCAGAAAATCACAAAATAAACTAACGACTAAATTTTCCGTATTAAAAATCTTAAAACTAATATTTGTTAAGTTCTTTATAATGGTATTCCTCAATTTTTTTAACTGGCTTAAATATAGCACTTAAGAAGCATATGACTTTTAGACATAAACTGTACTAATAAAAAAGGTTTAACAACTCAAGAGGTTTACTTTCTTTGAGTCTTCTCACTATTCCGTACTGATCCAAAAGTTATATAGTCTTCGTTTGTATTGTTCTGAAGTCTGTTTTTATTATTCTTTTATAACACAAATGAAAACGATGATACATTTGATTACAATAATTGTTGTTAAATTATCGAAAAGATAACACAGCTGTCAAACATAGCAGAATGGAATTCCAACGGTATGAGTTCACATGTTTATAAAATCAAAACATTTATCACTAATAACAATATTAACATTTTACGAGAAACTAAAAACTAGAAACAACTATTTCAAAGTAATGGGAGCATTAATCCAGAAAATAAGAAAGGCAACGACAGTATTTTACACAAAGAAGAGCTGAAACTAAAAATGAACTAAGTAGTTTCATACAAAACTAGAAAGTGAAGTAATTAAAACAAAAAATAAGTCAGTCAATGAATATCTAATGAAACTAATCTATCTATCTAATTAGCCTTCTTCGGTCCATCTTTGGACATAGGCTTCCCCAATCCTTTTCCATTCTTCTCTATCTGTCGCTACAGTCATCCACCTAGAGCCCACGTGCTTCTTGATATCATCTGCCCATCTCATTTGGGGCCTTCCTCTGCTTCGTTTATATTCCCACGGTCTCCAACTTATAAGAATTTTGTTCCATCGGTCTTCTTTTTGTCTTATATTGTGTCCGGCAAATCTCCATTTCGATTTTGCAACTTCTGGTCTAACATTCTTCACTTTTGTTTTCTCTCTTATCCACTCGTTTCTTTTTTATCCATTAGTCATATGCGCATAATTTGTATTTCCATTGCTCTTTGGGTTTTTATGATTTTTTCCTAGTTTGCTTTTGTAAATGTCCACGTTTGGAAACCATAAGTAAGAACAGGGAGTACGCATTGATTGTATACTTTGGTCTTAAGATGCTGTGGATATCTTTTGTGTTTAAGAATATAGCTTAGTTTGTCAAATGCCGCCCATGCCAGTCTAACTTGTCTCTTTATCTCTGCTGTTTGATTCTCTTTGTTAAGTTTTATAGTTTGACCAAGGTATATATATATATATATATATATATATATATATATATATATATATATATATATATATATAGGGGGAGATTTCAATATCGATCTTAAGAATAACACATTAGATAAAGTAAAATTTTGTATGTTAATTAACTCATATAATATTTGTCATGTAATTGAAGACTACACTAGAGTAACTGCCACATCTAAAACTTGTATAGATAACATACTAACAAATATGCAATCATATGTGTCAGTAGAAGTCTTGCACGCTGGAATCTCTGATCATTCTGCCCAAAAATTAA